CTATAACTATATCGATGTTGTGTTTGATTTTTTGATCGAGTTAAAAAATAAAATTCTAAATATGAAAATTTAGGTTAGAATTAAGAAAATTGAATTAGCTATTAAAATAAATTTTATTTATTCTATGACTTTTACTAAAATGCACATATGATGTTTTATACCTATGTATAGACTATCTTAAAAACTGGCTAATTAATCAGTGTGATGATGTATTCTAAGTAAAAATGTTCTAAGCTTCTAAAAACCCTTCTCAAACCTAATGCTAACCTTAAGTATTAACTTTAACGTAAAAAAATTGGCGTCAAAAATTTTATATACAAAACTTATAAAAACTTGGAAAATTTTGAAAAACATAATAAAAACATATCATAGGTACGTTTTATAATAAATGTGGCAGCTTATCGGTCAAGTGTAATGTCTGAAAATTTTCAGGGTAATGATTTAATTAGTGGATCTGCAAGTTGTAGCACATATAAAATATTATGATAATCTATATGTTTTATAAAAAAATATGAACTTTTCTTCAAATTAACATTTATACTTTACAACTTAACTAGTCTTCTTTATATATAAAAAATGCTTTTATTATCTCAAACTTTAATATGGATTACTTTTTTTTAACTCCTGCACTAAAAACCTTTGAAGTATCTTTTTTTAAAAGTTGTATTTTATCATCAAATTATGGGCTATACGTGAATGAAGAAGTCACAGGCAGCTTTGTCAGGAGACCTGCCCTGTACATAATGATAATGAAATAGCGCAATTTTTATCATCTGATACAAGGAACTGGCTCTTCCGTTAGTAATCACAACAGATTTATATTTTTCTTTTGACTAAGCACAGTCCAATAGTCCAATCGAAAGAAAATTGTCATAAGAACAAATCTTCAATTTGTTTGTTAAGAAACTAAAGATATCTGATATTCGAATCCTAATGGTCTATAAAATTTTCTTATTATATAGTTATTGTTGCGTAGAGCATAAAAAATATGCACGTGGGTATCTAACAGTGAGGCAGTTATTGACGATTGTACTATTTTCCACATTACGTATAATTTATGTTATCAGTTAAACATTTTCCTTTTATCTTTTTTTTTTTTAGGATGAGACTATCATTAAAATTTAACCTATACAAAAAAAGATGTACAAACAGTAATAACGTAAATTGCATGAATATAAGAATTTTTAGTGCAGTTGTCAATAACATGGCTGCATAATAATAAATTTAATCTGGCAGTTGCCGAAATATTTTGGTTTAAACTTTAAATTTTAAA